GCAGTTTATTGTTACCGTGCAAACGACGGCGGCAAACGCATCGCATGGTCTTAGGATTTTTAGCGCCGTCGCCGATCGTCGGCCGCAATTACATATATATATATATATATATATATATATTTATATTATTGTGTGTATAAAATAATGTAAACAATGCGATAGAATTAACCTTGGACAGGCGTCGCATGCCGTCGCATCACAGTGCCGATGGCGGCGAAAGACGAGCTAAGAACATTTTATCGGTCTGCGCAAGATACGCACATTATAATTCCTTATCAGCAAAACACTGCTGTAAATTGAATATATATATATATATATATATATTGCACACCTGGGAAACATCCTTGGACATCCTCTCGTTTTTCTACAAAACACTTTTTCTTAGTCTCCCCCTTCCCCCCTTGACAATAATTGTGGCCACCGCCGTCGCCGCTACTTTGGCGTCACGTGTTAATAAATATCCGGAATTCGAGTTCATTATATATATATATATATATATATATATATTATTATTGGCCACTAGAAAATATTTTAAGCCGAACCGTGTAAAATACGATCACTGCGTTAAACTCCAGTGTAATAATAATAAGCTAGGTATATACATAGTTGTGTTGTTCACATTTTTCTGTGATGAAAAAATATGAAGTTGTAAAAAGCGGAATATCTGCCTTAGGCCATTGCGTTTTATTATTAAATAATTAAATCATCAGAACTCTTATTTCACGTGTACATGCAAAATACGAGTATCCGGATGTCACAATGGTTTGTGTAGCTGTTTGTGAATTTAATGTGAAATTTCACGTTAAATCCATGTACTTAATATACTTATTATTCGAATACACGTTTTCACGAATATTCGTGAAATGTTCATAGCAATGTTGCTCTGACAGTTCCATTTTTGTTTAGTTGATACAATGATATAAAAAATGGCATTTAATTAAACCATGGTATGTTAATACTACGAGTATAGCCTTGCCATGCGCATCACACAAAATTAATGTCGTCAAGGGTCACATAAGACAATATAATACGCGTTATACCGTAGAGGATGTAGGCGGCCAGCGACTCAGAAATACAAACACCTAGTACCATTATGGTTTGGGAAAAATGTATTATTTCTTAGCAAATGAAAATGGGTGCTAAATGTAATATGTATTCTAAAAAAAAAGTATTATTATTACAGTATATTATGAACAATACAGTAATAATATTGAATACCTATACTGCCCTCCTAAGCAAAAATGCCGTAATTCGAAAAACATTTTTTTTGTTTGTAAAAACCCGTTTAAACAAACTCGTTTCTTACTTGGTTTAAACGGTTATTTAAGTATTTTTTTTCGAGAGTTACGGCATTTTTGCTTACGAGGGCAGTATATATATATATATATATATATATATATATATACAAAAACGTGTAGGTTATAGGTTGCGTCCGTCGCTGTATGTTCACGAATAGCTGAACATCAAAAAATTAGTTTTCCCTTGAAGAAAAACATTAGACCACGAATATGTCTTAGGTGTCTTAGGATTACTTATACTAAAAGGAATTTTAATATAACAGATAAACCGCACGATTACTATTAAGGCGTTTTAGTAGGCAAAGAGTAACACATTGCCATGTAAACGGATAAAAATAATTTTGTATATTGTTAGAGTATTTTATAACTTAATATAACAGCTAATCGTTATGTAAGAGTTGCACTTTAAACAAATGATTACTCACAGAAAAGAAACAAAAATACAATAAAAACAAAAAAGCTTTAAATAAATAAATAAATGATTGGATTATCTATACGTGTATAATGTATATGTTATTATTACACAAATATATATTTAATGGAAGACAATACACTTTTCTGATGATAATTAAAAAATATGGTATTTATTTCCCGTTGAATATAATATTTTTTTTGTTATGTTTAACTCGTGTGTAATATATTTTAGTATTATTGAAATATTTCTCAGTTTTTACCTTTTAATTATATACATAGATATGAAATATTGAACATATGTGGACAAAAGGTGTTCGAGTGCACCTCGAAGCCGGATCTTTCATTTTAACGTTCGTTTGCGAGTTATGACATATTATGACAGTCACAATAGATTGTTCATGACAGATCGTTACGGCGAAATTTTACGGCTAAAACATCAGCTGTTTATGTAATATTTACCTAAAACTTCACTATGTCGTTACGGTGTTGTGGTTTTAAAAAGTTAATTTTAATTTTTACTGTCGTGAAAATATTTATTTTCAGGTTAATTCAAGATATTATTACTTTGGTGGCGATAACATGCTTCCTAGAAAAAAGTTTCACGTCTTGTACAGTAGTTCGGTTACAGTATTTTATTTTTGTAATGAAGAAGACTTCCTAAAGGATGCATTGGACTTCGACTTTTAAAGCTTGGTCATATTCCAACATATTATAAATTTTGAAATATTAATTATATTGTTTTATTTATTAATATTATTGCCAAATTTTCAACCGTTATTTTTGGTGTAAATAAAAAGCTGAACTAACGCTTCGTCTACAGTCGTACGTTGTGTACTATTAATTTAGTTAATTTTTACATATTATTAAAAGTTAAACGGTATAAAGAGATACCACAAAAAAAAAACGTGCAATGAAACGAGCGTCGCGTTACGCAGGGTTATGAGCGGTGCCTAAGTGTTGCCATGAATTGAATCCGAACAAAGTTGATGTCTTGAGCCACACGGATTCAGGGTGTCATAACGCTCATGGGTACTATAGGACAATCCCTGCGGGATAAATACACTCGGAGTTGTCACACGACTCGGAATTCAATCAAAACGCCATTGTGTCCGTGGGTCGAATCATTTAAATTCAGATAAGCCTTTTTGGACAAGACGTTATTATACTGTCCAAGAACACCCGAGGTCTATTACGAGCGTACCCCAAACTCTAATTATTTATCCCTCACAGCGGTCTATAGATGAGCTGACCAGAAGAGTAGACCTAGTGTCATTGTAGTGTAGTTCTAAAGCTCCAAGTCTTAACCGGCCGTTTCTAAAGGTAAAGCCTAAGTAGGAAGTACATGCGTAATAATCCCTTTACCGCCACCGTAGCCGTCGTTTAGGGATTAAATGCGTTTGATAACAATCACCCTTCATCCTGAAGCTTTCCTAATAAGATGCACGAAACGTTGTATTTAGATTGATGATTGATCGTTATTTCATATAGTATAATATTGTTATATTTTAAGATTTAGCAAAACAATGACAACACTTTCGTTCGCGTTCGGATTTAATAAATCTACTGATTTATAATAATTATTTTTAAAAAAACATGTGTTTTCAAAACGCATTTAGATTATGACGTGTATAATCTCTGCATATGATGTTATATATGTATATATATATATATAACCACGGAAACGATGCAAACATCCGGCTCCGCATCGCATCATAAAACTGACACGGTGCAATAAACAAACATTCGATTTTTTTAAAGGTCGTTTTTAGTATACAGCTACCGTGCATCTCCAATGAACTCCAATTCCGTTTAAGAGAACATATTATTATTGTAGTCCAAGCTCCATTAACACATTAAGAAACGGACTGGGCTGTCGTATACCGGGCTCGTGGTTCGACTGTACATAAACAATAGAGTAATATTGAGCGGCCGTTCCGCCTGAAGATTGATGCTCAAAAAGTAGCTATTTCACAGTGTGGCCTCCAACAAAAATCGAAATATGTTGATATTAATTCCACATATTTTACACTACAAATGGGGTAAATTAAGTTTAAATAAATATTTAGTAGTAAATAACATAAAATAATTAACATAATCTGTATAATTGTACAACTGATAACAAAAAACAGGCAACCCATTTTACAGTTCATTTACGGTATATTTTTATCATCAAAAACATTGGCGCTGCAAAATATATACCGTTTGCCGGTTCGCGCTTCTATTTGTTAATATTGGTCGCATAGATATAAAACGGTCGCTCTATATTAATCTATGATACAAACATTGCTTGAGAGAGGCATACTTTAATAAAACTAGGTCACGAAATTGTAACATTTTATCGAGAAAGTATTTTTTGCGAATTCCACGTATCGCTGATAGTTATTCGTATTATTTTTCACTCGTTATCTTTTAAATAGATGACTCAAAAGCTAATTTTGACTAAAAAAAGAAAAATTTGTCATTACGACTCGATTGCAACAGCAACAGCTAGTCTACAAATAATTATTCTTAACAAAATAAAATAATAACCAAGACTTTTTTTTTATTATAATCTTTGTGGCTTTATTGTCACTGACGAGCCGTGCTTATTTCACATATTGATGGTTGCCCTTTGGTTTTTATATAGATACGACCTTAAAAATTACGTAGTGCCGTCGTTTAGTCGCCTATGACAGCGTGTATACAATCAATAGAACAATCAGTCGTCATTGTCGTACACACCGGCAACGTCACCTCGATATTATTCCAATACCACCACCACCATAAGATATCGGTTGGTCAGTCAACCGAACGATCATCCGGACGGGTTACCACTAAAACGCAAATTATATCCACGGTTCGTCAAACTAGGGATAGATGGCTTCAGTGAGCTTTAGAATAAAATGCATTTCTTAAAAATCAACAGCTATTTTGAGTAGCAACCAAAAACCTAAAAGGGGCAAGGGAGAGAAAAATAGACAAATGTCTAAGGATGACATAATTTAAAGGGCGCGCATTTCATAATAACATCAAAAAAGGGGGGAAGGTTGAGTGACTTAAGGCTATGGTATTGCCTTAGGCTAATTGAAATAAGTGGCATTTGTTATTTTTGACTTTGATAATTGATATAATATCACATAGATCGTCTCTGAAAAGAACGGTAGCGTAATTGGAAGGTAATGTTATCTTTTTAGTCTGCACGATTAGTAGTATAGTGATGGTAATATGTTTTTTACAACATAATTGATTCACTAAATGTATACACTGTATTTTAGGGTATGTAATAAAAACCTAACAAGCGTGACTTACCTGGACCGGATTGACCGTCAGTGGCAGTAGACACTGGAGATGTCGACCCTTGCAAGTGCGCTGGCAACGTTATTGGTTGACTCTGCAAAAAATAAAACAAAAATTAAAATAACGTTTTACTGTGGGTAATACTTGAAGACTATAGTCAAGGTTTGAGTTCGTTCACCTCGATTAATAAGACGTACACTATTATTATATAATCGTCTTTAATGTTTAATTAATGAATTAATATTATTATGCAGTTTTCTCTGCAGTGTCCCTTTTTAATGTTTTCTATATTGCAGTGTCATGCCTAATTCGAACGGGAGAACGTGATTCTTTTTTTCCTTTCTTTCGCCTGTATATAAAACATACTGTATACGATTTTATAATTTATTGTTTTTCGACCTACGTAAGTTAACATCGCAAATGAAGTTCAATCAGTCAAAAGGGAACCGATGAACCGTTGTTTCCTTCCTTTACATTGTCACGAGGATTAACGACTTCCTCGATTTATTATTACTATTTTTTTTTTAGGTGCTCGGGCATTTGTCACGGGTTTTAGGTCGTTGTGGCGAAACCCCAGAGACGGCTATTGTGGCGATGCGGCTTCCTGCGTTTATATAGCGTCGAAGTTTATTTTCGAAAAAAGATATAAGATGATCAGAGTTATCATTGAATGCACTTTAAGACAATAAGTTAAATGATGATTTGCAAAAAAAAAAATCTACGCGACGAGTTAAATTTGCATTTGCGGTCTGGCCTAATGCACGCATGGGGAGAGGAGTGGTGAACCCGCTTAATGAATTCGACCACTATTATGGGACGGCAATAAAAATGAGTTAATAATCCGCGGTCCACGATAGTTTTCTAAACCGGGGTTAAGTGATGTCAACAACTAGAGGCCGAATCAGTATACGTCTTTTTAGTGGGCTATATTATTTTATATCGGTCCGTAAATACAGTGTGTAATATTATATTAACCCGAAACGTTACAATCATGTCACAGTTGTCACCCCATGATTTTCTGTACAGACTGTAGGTCTCCCAACGTTGTAACAATACAAATAATATGGTACGTTGCTCTCAAAAGGATCCTTCTCAACGGATATCGTAAGTGTACACCTGTATAGATTATAGAATGTATATTGAACTGACCACATTTTTTCTCAAAAAATACAAATATACCTTCTCATTGTTTATTTGTTGAGAGTAGTGACACTAAATTTACCATATTTTATAGTCGAGCCGAGGTGTCTGTGTCTTCAAAGACAATGTTTTTTTTTTGTTGAAATCTGTAACTTAACTAAAAAGTTAAGCATTAAAAGTATCGTACTAGTTTTCGAGCCATACTAATACTATGTAGTAATTTTTACAAATCTCAACTGAATAAATAATACACATAATATAAAAATAGTCAGTCAGTCAACAGTAGTCAAAGCATATGGGACGGAATATATATAAATCAATCAGTTAGGACGGACAAACTTAGTCGTTTTTTTTTAGAATTGTTACAACTGAAAATGGTACAATCACTAAAAAATACGCAGCGATGCGACTCTGTGGATAGAGTATAGATTATACAATACCAATACAAATCAGGCAATAAATGCGAGATAAGGGTTCGCTTTGAAAATCAAGTATGAATTCAGATATTTCGAATTTTTATTTAGATTAGTTGCTAGCCCAATGATCAGTCTCGGAATTTGTAAAAATTATCCTTACGAAATAAATAAAAGAAAACAGTTTCTTCCACCTCAAAAAAAGAATTTTTTGTATTCTACTGTATACCTGTAACATTTACAACATCTAAAGAATATCCCCAACAAAATTTAGAACGAGCTCGATAATTTGTTGAAAAGTTATAGTGCGCCGTTTTGTTGAAAAATGTATATATTTACAATGTATGTATTTCCGTTTACTTTTATCAGTAATAACTAATAACTCATATAAGATTGTCTATAATTTTATGCAACGGATGAGACACAATTACCACACTCTACTTTGTAGATTAACTAGACATTTTTTGTTCAGCTTTTTACACTTAATGACTAACATAACCTCAAATCACAATAGTAGGTGCATATTCAATATTATATTTTTTAAACAAACATTTATGGAATATATGATTCAAGAACAAAAGACGGACGATGACGTGTCACTAAAACAATAATAAATAATGTGACATCTTATAAGTTTGCAGTGCACTTACTTATGTGTTATTTTATCATTATAAGTCAAATTTTGTAACTTTAATAGATTTACTATTTACCACTTCCCAGCATTATATGTATAGTATCAGTTTCATTTACTTAATATTATTGCTAAACTATTCTAGAGTTTTATGAGAATGATTTGCATACTAATTAAAGATTATTTTAGTTGTTAGCACGTAAATCTTATTAGGCAGTTCAAATAAATGTTATTAAAAGTATCAAAACATAGAATTAGATATTAAAGGACTTGTACATCCTATAAGTAAACTATAGCACAGAATATTTGCTTTTATAATATTATGTGTAAAGCTATCCATTTATGTTGTCAATTACAAGAAGTGGCAAGAACAAGTAAAGTATGTACAAGTGATAGTTAAAAATTATACAAGACAGCAAAATGACATTTTCATTTTCAGTGTATTCTTAGAATAAGTGATGGTCATTAGTTTTTTCAATATCTTTTTAAGTTTTTATAAAATTGTTTCTTTTACTTTATGGATTCTCATCATCTCAATTAAATAACTGGTTGATAACGTAAAATAAATTTAACAGTTAATTACAGCGAAATAGTAGATATTTTTCTTTAAAGACACATTTGTGTTATCTTTCAAAGTATTTTATTTTAGTATATATTTTTTGAGTTTTTTTAATAATTTCACCAAAACAAATTGACATTTATTATTAACTTATAATATGCGTATCACGATGCAACGTACATAACAAGCGTGCGTATTATTATAATCTTCACGTATCGTGTAGCGCTTCACATGATATGTATAGGCTATACATTTTTTTGTGTTGTAGTAGTGTATTAATGCGATACATTTTTAAACCTAACATAATATACATATAAGAATGGTTTTTTTCATAAACAATAACATTTTATAAAATAGCATAATGCGAAAAAAAGAATGTCCGTTTTATTATTTGCTATAATACTATTTTTCTTACACCAGTTTAAAATATACTTATCAATTTGTATAACCACTTACTAAATAAATAAATAACATTTAAATAAAAAGTAGAAAAAATAATATTAAACGCGTTTTACATTGAATACGCTAATTAGATCTAGGATCAGATACAATTTTAATTTTGAATTAGATCATTTTTTTTTTACTTGATAATAATAATAATATTATTATATTGTATATATAACACAACAAGCTATTATAAATACATTATACATTATGTTTGATTTAAAAACTACATATTCTGGTTATGTTTGATAAATTCACAATGCCTATTTAAATAATTAAATGTTTATGCAGAATGCGATAGTTAATGCGAGTTAATGATTTCCACGATTGTTGTTGGTTAGATTCTTAAGAAATAACGGTAATTTGTTCTGTTGCGTTTCATAATGATAGAATAGGCCTTTCAAAGACAACTAAAATAAATTAGGATACTATTTGTTTATTTCATGTAGTCAAATAAAAGCTAAGACTATGACTAATCCCACATTAGATATGTCACACGGGAAATTAACTGTGAACCATTTGACATTAAATTTCTTATAGAGTCTTAACATTTTTAACAGGAAAATTGTTATGGATTAGTTTTTAAAAGTTTTAAATTAAAAAACAAAACTGCTTCCAATTGAAAATGTTGATACACCGTTTATAGCTGAAAAAATAGTTTTAATAAGTTAAATTACTGCATTGCAAAAAAAAAATATATCTTAATAGTATATATTAAGCATTTTCATACAAAACATCATAACACGCAGAATAATTTTTAATATATCTCGGTAGGTACATATGGCCAATTGGAAATAAAGCGAGTTAGTGTATATTATAAGTATGCAAGTGGGAAGTGGTAATTGGGTACTCATATAGTCGTGTGACTATAAGGTTAAGTAAAAACGAATTGCACGAGTCCGAAAGCAAAAATGTAAAATGTACGTTCAGAAACATTGTCTATTCATAACGCATACAAGAGCTGCACAAACGATTACTAAACACATTCCGCGACGAGGTTTTGCGCAATAACTTGTAAACGATTCTCTTTTTATTATATATTTTTTTGCGTTTACTCGCCCATATATGCGCTGCCGCTGCCACTCGGTTGTATTTTATTAGGAAAAATCTGCGCTAAATTTGTACTATTATTATGTATTTGTATCTGTCAATAACATGTATGCGTTTGTCTGGCACAACAAAGGTGTACCCATATATAATATTATAATATAGAAGTGTGACAGCCGTATAAACTGCGGCGTTTTCCCCATTATAACAGTACACGTATTAATCGGGGTACTAAAAAAACTATGCACACCAAAAAAAAAAAAACCTTTTCAGAATGCTATAGCTAATAGATAAGAATTGGTATTCCTGGACTAGTGTCTGTCCTTAAGGGGCATCTACACCTGCGTATTTTTTGGTCGAAATCAACTTATTTTACATGTAAGGTACTGTTTCTAAGAATACTCCGATTTAAGTTTTAAACAAATATTCGAATTCTTTATAACATTTTCAAGGCATCGAACGTGACATAATTTAAAAATTAATTTTTGTTAATTAATTTCTTTAGTTTAAAAAAGTTAAAATTGCAATTTTTTACATTGAATTATTGAAATAATTAATTAACTAAAAATAATTTTACAATAGGGCCTCGATCGATGCCTTGAAAATGTTTTGAATAATTCAAATGTTTTTCAAAACTTAAATCGAAGTATTCTTAGGACCGTACTGGTTCAAACGTACTGTTTTAAGTTAAAACATATTATGTTTTTGTACAAAAATAAATCCTACATGCGTTATTAGAAATGAAAAAAAGTAAATATCAAAATAGATCCTTATTTTCTATGGAAATATGTATGTTTAGAAATTTTAGCTTAATGTTAAGTTTTAGTAAAAAATTGCCTATACAGTGCGCCTTAATAAAT